CTTGTCTGGCTTGGTGTCTCTTGGTTCTGGTTTTGTTTGCGCCTCCGTCTCAGCTGTGGGAACCGCCACCACAGCTGCTGCTGCTGCTGCTGCTGAATCCATCTGTCCTTGTTCATCTCCCTGTTGTTTGGTATCCTCTCGCTCGAAGTCCTCATTCACGACAGAACGCTTCTTGCCCGGAGCAGGTCTTGAAACGACGGGTTCCGCTTCGTCAACTGGTAGCTCTTTTGTCGTACTAGCAACTTTAGGCTCCGACGCTGCCTGGACCCTCTTCTTCTTCTTTTTTCTCTTCTTCACTGCGCCATCCTGCGATTGTTGAGCTGCAGTTTCAGGAAGAACAACGGGGGCTGGCTCGGGTTCCTGTTCAGCCTGCGGCTCATGCTGGGTTTCTAGTTGCAGGTTTTGCTCTACCGCGGGCGCCTTTGTCCGTCCTCCCACGGTACCTTTAGCAAGGTGTGATCCGGCTCTGTTCACGCTTTGCTTTTTCCTTTTCGGCTTTTCCGGCACCTCCAGCGGTCTTTGCGAACGAGCTACAACCTCGCTTTGGGGGATCATTCGTCGTGAGTTGGGATCGTAAACAAGGGTATCGTCGATGGAGGGCGTTGGTGACAGGGCTCTAGATCGAGGATAGGAGAAGTTGATGGATGGGCTGACGCTGCCGGGCCGCGGATCGTGGACGTAGGTGGCAGACTGTATTGCAGTATTGGCGTGTCGAGGACTGGCAGATTCTCGAGCGGTCGCGCCGCCAAACCATGTCGCCTGACCATCCTTCATTTTCTGGCTCGCTGTTCTAAATGGCTGTGTCTGTAGGACAGGTCCTCTTGTACCCTTTGTGTGTCCGTTAGTGTGATGGCTGGCCATGATTTGGTCAACACTGGGCAATGCTGGGACAGGTGGCACGTCACGCTCCCTTGGAGCTGGACTACGACCTGGTGAAGGTGTACGAAAGGTTCGCTCCATCATCGAACCCACACTGGGGGTTCTAGTGAGCTCGCGACCTCCTCTCACACTGCCGGTGAGGGAAGTGAGGGAAGGGCTTCTCCTGTGTGCTCTTTTAGACTGTACCTCGGCGACATTCGTCGGGGTCATCGGCCGCGCCCTGAGAGCCGCAGCGGCGGCAGCCGAAGACAAGGACGAGGTTGAGTCGCGTCGACTCATGAATACCGCTGCTGCTGCGGTGGCGGCATTGGGGTTCGCCGTTTCCCTGGTCAGGGGCTATCGCAAGTAGTTTGTTAGCACCATTGTCCAATCGCAGAGGTTTGAATGTGTCTGTATCTGCCGCTCGCTGCTGCTTCTTCTTCCTCCTCCGATCAAGCATGGCGACAACAGCTAGGACTGATTTGAAGGGCCTAGTAACACGCCGCGCTGTCGCACCAAATTGTATACTCGACCGGCGGCAAAGCTAGGCAGGCCAAATGCACGGCTAGGGGGAGAAATACAAGCGACTGGTGTGCTGCGACATCTTCTCACGGTGGAATTGCCCAACGGTGGACAGAGTATATTGCAACTTACTTGGGCGGGAGGCTGCCGCCTCCGTGAGCCGCCAAACATGACGGGCCAGATATGATGAAATGGAGAGAAAGGCTCGCGACCGGACGGGATGGAGAGCTTTCTCAACAGCAGCAGCTAGGCATAGGAGTCGATGAGCACGAGGTAGTGATGAGTAGGAGAGCTGAAAGTGTAGAAGGGCAAGTGAGGCGCAGAGCGATAAAAAAAGGTATCGGTAAAGAAATAAAGTAATGATGGGGGTGTGGCGTGTGGGATAATCGGATGGACGCGGTAAGGATTAAGAAAGAATAAAAAGGGAAAGCTGCTGGAGAGAGGCTCGGCGACGGAGGAAGGGGCGATCGGGATGGTTAGTGCGAAGCGCAGGGCGAAGGCGGACCAGAGCGGTTCGAAGGTTTGTCGCCGTTCGACGGTAGCCAGTGGTGCGGTGTGAGGCCTTGAGGCGTGGAGGTAGAAGGTTTGGATGCGACCAAGGCAGAGGGTTAACTAATCAAGGCGGGCATGGAGGAAGCTCGGTAGTTGGTCCATCTTGGACGGAAGGTGCCAGGCATAAAGAGCATGAGAACATGGGAGCTTCGGGAGCATGGAGCATGGAGCGTGGAACATGGCGCGCACACCCAAGTGGCCGTGGTGCCACGGACATGCTCAATGGTCCATGGCCAGAGCCGCTTTGCCGAATCGAGGCAGCCAATGGAGACGGGAGGACCATTGTGAACCTATCAAGGCGCAAGAAATAGACGGCGCAGCGCCAGCCAACTGTCAACTCGACCAGCTCGACGGACATTTCAGCACTGGGAGCAAAGCGATGACGACACCGTTCTGGAACGTCCAAGCGCGCCCCCACCAGCTCAGCTGTCTTGGGTGATGTCGTGGAGCAGCGACAGGGCTTTCCTCTCCATGTCGCCTTACAAGGTCCGTAGCATTGCGACTCGAATCAATTGCGTGTCGGTGTCGGCGAGTAGTGGTGGACACCAGCAGGCCCTTAAAAGATGATTGCTATGTACTCAAATATTCCTTCCAGCCAAGTTCTAATATGACACTCAGGAGTACTATAAATATAATAGTAAGAACGCCCTCTATGCTATTATTCTACACACCCTACGCCAAAGAAAATCACCAGACGCTACGTTGGAGGCAGTGCAGGGCTTAAAAAACACTACGGAATTGACATTCAATATGTACGTCCTATAGAGCCACGACCTTGGCTAGCCGCCCTCTAGCGAGTCAAACCGTCCAGATGTCCTCATAGCGCCCAGGCAGTGGCGCCCCGCCACGCATTACAGAGCCTGCAATTACCATGGCGCATTAAACCGCTGCGACAGCGCGTCGGACCGCAATCACCATTGGCATTACCATAGTAGTAAGTACTTATTCATCTCTGGTCTCCGTCACACCCCGACTAGCGGGTCCGGCCGTACGCACGGTAGGTTAGACGGTTTTGGCTAGTCACCAGACACCAAGAAACGCGCGACTCGCTACTCTTAAAATCCAGCAAAGATGACATCAGCAACCAGGCATTACAATTTAGTCGTGGTCCCATGAGTACACGATGTGGTGGCCGCCGTGGAGGTTCCCAGGTAGCTAGGATAAGTCACGTAGTTCAAGATACATAAGCAGACTATCAAATTAACATGCTGGAAACATATAACCAAGCGGTAGTATCAGAGCTGCGGTCTGCTGTACGCTCCCTTGTTGGGCTTCTGTGTTGAACAGACAAATCCATGCCGCGGCTTCCTGCAATAACGGCACTATTTAAAAATGGCGGTGAAATAGTAAGCTTGTACCCCGAAGCTGAACTAGGGTCATTTCCACCCGTTCTTGGATGGTCTCGATTGACGAATCAATACATCAAGATGAAATGGCGACTGTTGAATATTCAATGTTGGTACGTACTACTAATATGGACGTGCTGGTCTGCGGATCAAGATGACTGGAAGGATTCAAGTGGTACCCCACAGTGCACGACCACTTATACATAAAAGGCTCAACTGCGTGAGCATTGGCCGAACCGACACGCCGGGCCAGCCCGCTGTCAATGGTTACAATCAATTGATCTTGCTGTTGGCAGTTGATTGCAGTTCAACCTGGCCTTTATAGCACAATGCAACTACTACTACTTTGACTGTACTATCCCAGGATTCCTTCCATCATCCAGGCCTGGCAACCACGTGCCCGTCAACAATGCACCCCTGGCATGCCCGCCGCCCGAAAATTCGTAGCATGTCCTGCAGTTTCGTCAATACTACGTCAAGTTATGATTTGTACCTATTCCCAGCAACCCATTTCACTGGTCCATCCCCCCCCCGAAATAGTTACACAAGTTACAACCTCCCTAGCAGTTACCTAAGCACTTAGGTACTTAGTTACACAAGTACGGCAAGTTACACAACAAAGACGGACACGCCAGAAAACCCAAAAAATCATGCATGGCCCGCCCTCTCCATGCTCTGTGATACCTGATCGTGGGCTCTTCCCGCAGCCAGCCACACAATGCAGCAATGGAACACGCCATGAACTCCTCATGTCTCACATGTGCACTCATTCTTCTTCATCTGTCGAGACCCCTCTCAATCCTTGACCCCTGCGCAAGGAGGGGGCGGAGCCAAGCCTCAATGCTCCAGCTCCAATTCACTTTTCTTGTCAGATCCAGCACATCAACAAGGAAAGTTAAACTGGGGCCTGGGAATACTACATAAAAACAGGGCATTTTACAACGGGACGCCCACTCTACGTTTTATGCCAACAAGACAGAATACATACTACGTACACATTCTGACACGGTTAATCATTAACGCTAATATATCAATCAACTGATGATGGGCATTTAAATTAGTCAGTATTGACCAAAGTGACGCTTCATCTTTCCTGCTCTGTCGTTCAAGTTGATACTTGTCAGATTGAATTACCACAGCTTGGAACGAGTGACGTAAACTGTTCCCACTTTTTGCCAAATCAGGACATGCATATTCAACTACTTAGGTACCTGCTAGGTACGGAGTAAGGTAGACACGTTTCGTGGAGTCATGGCAAAACCATCAAGTGGCTCGTCCACTTTATTGCTGACGGGTAGTTGCCAGGTCACTTAAATCGCGTCTATGTCAGTGCTTTCATCCTTGGCTCGCCTACAGTTTCAATTCCTAACAGTAGACAAGTAACTCTGGATAATGTGCTTCTTTAAAGCATTCACCAGTATTCATGCAATCAGAGGTTTCCAATCAACGAACAACCGCCAGACTACCAACACACTCGCTTCGGCCGTCTAACCGACTTGCCTTAATTTGAACCCTTTCCCCACCGATCAGGCTCGTTTGCTCAACATCCGGCTTGAGGCTCTGGATTTCCAGCTCAGGAGTGCCTACCTATGTAGTAAATATGCCGAGGAGGTGAATGTGACCCATTGTGTTTCAATGCTAGAACGAAAGGCTACCCGGTAGCCTTCGCATCCACACAGGTACAACAAATTATGTTCCAAACATTCGACGAAAGGCCTTGCACTACGATTCGACTCGCTCTTGCTCTTGAGTCCCGCCTCCATCTCCTTCTTGATGCAAGGGATATGGCTGCGGGTAAACTTGGTCATCCACGACCCCGTCATCGTATTCCTCTTCGGATTGAGTAGAATGACTCTGCTCATGATCCATGGATGGTGCCTGATGGTCATCAATGTAGTCCGACGGCATGTGATCGGGGTGATGATGCCCGCTGGAGCTGCCTTTGTTGAGGGCTTTGCTGGGCTTCTTGCTCTTCCTACTCTTAGCTTTCGCCTTCTCCATGAGTCGCTTCCGGTCAGCTTCTTTGCGGCGATGACGGCGGTCTTTTATCTCAAACGCTCGAATAAGAACTTTGGGAGGTTCGCCAAAGATCCGCTCATACTCGCAGAACTCGCAAATCCACACATCTTCAGGTTTTGGCGGGTTCTCATGCAAGTTTTCCTCCGCAATCTGTCGTCGTCGACGAGCGGCCATCTTCAATTCTCGATCCAGCTGACGACGGGTCCTTCTGAGTGATTGGGAGCTCGTTGCTGCTTGTGAAATGTCGTTACTTGTACTATTGTTCATGTTTGTGTTGGAGTGCATATCGGGGCCGTGGGTTGTGATGTCGTCTCGAGAATGGTTGCCTACATTCAGGGTGAGTATTCGCAGCATTTCCCTTTTGCGTTGGCTGCATAGAACATGAGAGGCTTACCTGGCCACTGCACAGTTCCTGGAACTTGAGAATCACACGTAAAGGTGAACTGTGCTGAGGCTGGCGTGGACTTCGACGCGGAAGAGTGTTGCTGTAAAAGGCTGACGTTCTCTTGTCCCTGGGGAGGGAGCTTCCCAGCGTTTGCGATAGCACTAGAAATAATGCCAACACTATCGCTGCCTGTGATAAACCTATTGTTAAAAATGAAATTAAAGAAGCAGGGCAAGTATCATGATGCTAGACATGGTGAAAGGAAAAAATGAATAAAGCGAAGTGAGCGTGAGCAGTGAGCTTTCATATGATTGCTCAAGCTCGCTCGGCTCGTGGCAGCTGTGGGAGACGGGGCCGGCCTGAAGCTTTGCCAAAAGAAACACCGGGTAACATGTCAACTGATGGTTGTAAAACAATGATGGACTTACCTGCTGGCCAATGAGTTGTCCCAGCCTTCACGCCTCTACTGGTCCAGGTGGTGTTGCCATCTGGCAACGTTCGAAGCGGGGTCCTAGCATTCCCAGATCGTCCGAGTCTTCCCCTGCCAGGCCCAGAGAAGCCTTGATTACCAGAAGCATACGACGTCGAATCTTGGTAGGTATTGGAGCCCGCGTGGCTTCTCTCAGTGCCGTGGTCATCGTCTACTGGGGGTGAGGTGGCAGCAGAAAGTCCCAGGCCATTCATCTCATTGCTGTGTCCATGGGTCCCATTGATTGACGACTCTCCGGCCGACGGTATCTTTCTCTTCTTTTTATTATTTGTATTTTCGAATGAATCATATCCATCCAGAGACGGGGTAGCAGAAGGTGGTGGTTGTGGTTCAACCTGTCGTGGCTGTTCTTGTCGAGCTGCTTGCCGGCCTGACAAATTCAAAATTTCAGGAGGTGTTCTTGCAGCAACTGTGCTTCGAGCTCCAGTATGAACTTCCTCCCCAGCAGCTGATTGTACTCCATATCGTTGTGGTGTGACAGCACGATTTGAATCGTCCAATCGTCCGGATTGTGTTAGGTCAGAGAGAACACTGGTGAGCTGGCTGCTCCCTTCCTTGGCTTCCTTGACTGTGTATGGAGGGTAGTGAAAGAACGGAGCGTTTTCTCGCGTCGAAACAGGGCACTTTATTGAATCCGCAGCTTCTGGTGGCAAGCGTTCTCGGAGTCGACGTTTCGGCAGCGGCCGAATGGGCCGGTCTGGGAATAGTGACGACACTGTATCTGGTGACATCATCTGGCTACGCCCTGTCCAGCGCCATCGAGGTCGAAGTGTTAGCCAACAAATCACCATAGATAGAAAAATTCCGGGTAGAGAAAAGTCTTGTTTGAAATGAATGAAATTAAATGCAAATCGAAACCAGGACGAAATTGATAAAGCCATTTCCCTAGGATTGCCCCGCACTTGAACGGGGGTTATGGAGTCGACAAAGAGGCAGAAGAAGATGGGCGTATGGATTCATGATGAGATGTGAGGAGTATTTCAGGCCCTGTGGTGAATATCAGAAGGGAAAGCGTACCCAACCACCATGGCTGTCCCAAGATCCCACACGTCGCAGGAGCAGACCCAGATCTATGCCGCCTTGGAGCGAGACGTCAAGCCGGCTGGCAGCTGCGTAGCTCGCTGGAATATGTACCAGTTTCGGCCAAAAGTTGAAGCGTCAACACTGCGAATATTCCGCACCGAGTCGGGGCGTTTTAAAGGTTAGTCGGCTTCGAATCGGGTTCCAAAGGCGGCGTCTGGTAACGGGTTAGAAAACTGGCTCCTCCTCCTTTCGTCCACGATTTGTGACAAGATACAGGGCACAGGTAGCTTGAGGAGGGCCCTCTGTAGTGTTCATGCCAACACTCAAGCCCTGGAGGGAAAGGGTGCGTGGCGGCTCCGGGGCCGAGATGCGATCTTACCAGTCTCTACAGCACAGCAGCGGAGGAGAAGCAGAATGAGGGACACCTCGGCCTGACCACAGCGGACGTTTGAGTGACGGGGGGCAAACGATGAGTTGTGGGTCGTGGAAAGGACGTAAAATGGGAGAAGAAGAAGCCAAGCAATGCTCTAAAAGGCGCAAACGAGTACAAAACCGCACAGCTGGTTTGGAATTGCCCACCTCACACGTTGCACTTTGGATTGCAAATGACAGCATTTGATACAGCCGCTGTGTGATTAGGAGGTGTGGCACCGTAGGCAAGGCCCGCATGCTTGTGCGGAAGTAGAGCATTAGGTAAGCAGTCATGGCTTGGTTGCATTGCGTCAGCGACCGGGCAGCAGGTGATGGAGGAGGAATGCATCTCTACAGATTCTAGAATGGTCTGTATGGTTGAGATTACTACTGTTTTTCTTTTGGATAGTCTTCAGGCCATGGCCGGCAGTAGAAGAGAGAGAGAGAGCGTCGCCTTCGCCCTTGGTATCATGTCAGATGGGATGAGCCGCAGTCATCGGACCAGTACCAGACCGAAGTACGGAGTGCTCTGGACTCTGGACTCCATTGATTAGTGGGGGGAGCTGGGGTCGCGCCATTGGCGGCTTCAGAACTGAGGTCCCTGAGCCCTCGAGTGTCCGTAATAATATTACCCTCCGTACAGTACTCCGTACAGTGCTGGATTAGCCGAGCCTTTGCCTGCAGTGGACGGCTGACCACGCCCAACCATGTCCAAGCAAACAGTCACCTACTTCAGGCAGTGGGGGCTCATGTAGACGAGACCTACGGCGTATCTGTAGATCCCACTCTTCAAGGCATGGTACTGTTTAGGTCTCAAGTCCCGGTACCCTGCCCTAGCTTCTCTCGGGGCACCACGTCCCACGATGCAGGCGAGTGAGTGTGCGTAGGGTCTGGCCGGCCTGCTACGGAGTACTGCGTGCACCAGACTCGTCGAGCCAATGGTCAGGTCAGCGGCCCGGAGACTCAGTGCAGCCACGGCCTGGTCGTGCCGCCGCCGTCCCCAGCAAGGTCGGCCCCATTGCGCGCAAAACACCCCAGTGCCAGCAACTGGGCGGCCAAGACCAGGAGGGCAAGCAGCAGAGCGCAGAGAAGCGAAGAGCACCACAGCGCCGGCCCTCCTTCAGCCGCCTGCCGTCCGTCTCGCTTTCTTTCTTCCTGCCCTCCTTCACGATCTTGTCGTTTGCCGTGAGCACGCTGCTTCGTTCTCTGGCCTACTACGTCATGACAGCTCACCAATCCGTTCTACCTACTCGCTGCTGTTTCCCCACGCCATCCTCGTCGTGACCAGCTCGCACTCGTCCTTGCTGAAGGTGTCTGGCCCGGTGCACCAGCGACAACCCAGCCATCAGCTTGGCCGATTACTCAACCCTCCAATTCCACGCAAGATTACCTTCATAGCGCTGCTCCGAACACTTCCAATCTCTTTTCTGCACGCTCTGCGCCTGCCACAACACTCTGCGAGCGGTGCTCTCCCCTGCCCTCCTCGCTTCCCTCCAGAGCCATCTCTTGGTTCAATGGCACCACCGTCGCCGCGGCGATCCTCGAGAGCCCGCGCGACCAATTCCCAGTCCCAACAGTCGTCCTCGTCATCGGGGACATCTGGGCGCCTGGAACGAAGCACCAGATCAGTCAATAAGCCCTCGTCGGAAAAATCTACTCCCAGCGCCTCGCTCTCTTCAGAGCCGCTCGACGACTTCGACGACACCCTCCTAGGCAGGAGACGCAAACGCGGTCAAAACGACGACACCGACCGAAATTCCCGGAGCGAAATTACAGACATGGCCAATGGTAGTGACGACCTTCAGGACGACGAGGACGAGGCAGTCCGCTGCCTTTGTGGCTCGGAAGACTACCCTGGCCCTCCCCCCGTTGACAGCCCCGACGCCGAGATTTTTGCAGCTATTGATCTCACCGACGAAGTTACTGGCTTTTTTGTCCAATGCGACATTTGCAAGGTCTGGCAACACGGGGCGTGTGTTGGCATATTCAGTGCTGAAAGCTCTCCCGATGAATATTTTTGTGAGCAGTGCCGCAAGGATCTTCACAAGATCCATACAGCAGCTAACGGGTGAGTCTCTTCATGTCCCTATTTTCGCAAGCGACCCTATTGCTGTTGCGTGGCCAATTGAACTCTGCGCGGCCTTGTACAAATGGTTTCAAACGGTTGTTGCTGCGAGTCGGTCGAGCTTGGTGCGCAAGGGTTTTCACACCCACCAACATCGCACACATCAAAGACCACGCTTTTGAATACCGAAAATCTTCAAGACTAATCATGATGATTCTCAAGACAAAAATATTCCAAATATCTCCCATTGAATCGCGCTTCCCGCGCCACCTCACGAGCGACATCTATTGCCAAAGACGACAAGAATGGATCGTCCAAAAACTCCCGACCAAGCACTGCGACACAGTCGTCAAAACGACGATCTACGATGAATAGCCGCGATGCAGCCTACGATGACGAACAGTTACGTCGGGCGATAGAGGCAAGCAAAGAAGACAACACGCTCGAAACCGTGGAAGGTGCTACAAGGCGTGCAAAGCGCGGTCGCAGTGACAGTGAAGAGTTTGTTTGCCTCTCATAATGTATTACTTAGTACACGGCTGACACCCGCAGCAATAACAACAATACCAGCATTAAGCGCCAACGCACCAGTTCTCGGTCGCCCTCACCACTCGCCGAGAAACAAGAACCTGTAGATGAAGTAGTGTCGGGCGATGAGACGGAAACTCGCAATGGGGCCAAGAAATCGAAGAACAACCAACAGCCGAGAGAAAAGCCGGAGAAAGAGGATAGAGAACGTCAACGACAGGAAGCCGCAAATAAACGCAAAGGGCGGGCAGAGCGCCGGAGGGCAGAGGGTAAGTTTTTTTTCTTGCCTGGGCTTCGTGCGCGGACAGCAAAGTTACTGACCTGTCGTACCTAGACTCTGATCTTTCCGAAGAGATGCCCTTGGCAGCTGCCAAAGCAGTGCCGCAAAAACCAGCGGAATCTCCAAGCAAGGAGGAGTCCCCTTCTGTCGCCCAAGCCCCAGGAACTCCTCCTCCAACCCATCCGACAGCCAGCAGTTCTCATAAGAGAGGAGCTCGGGCTAACAAGAGGGGAAAGGGGAGGAACCAGTATACCAAGGACCGTGACCAAGACGACGAGTCTCCTGCACGATCCATGTCCAGGGATATTCAGAAAGGCGATGAAGCCACAACAACCGGTCACTCCAAGTCGTCAGTTAACGAACACAAGACCTCCAGGGCAAAAGCGTCCGCGACGAACAAAATGAGCATGCTCGATATGAAGCGCCGCGTGGCAGCTATAATGGAATTCATTTCCAGGACGCAAGTTGACCTAGCCGCGGAGGCCTCCTTCAGTCAGAGCAGCAGTGGCCGAGAGACGCCACAGGAAAAGCCCGAACCAAGCCAAACAAACGGCAACACCGTCAATGGTCATACTCCAGATCCATTCGATATGAGTCGCTTCAAAGGCTTGAGCTGCATGGAAATGATGGACGTTCTGACACGTGTTATGGTCAAATGGCAGAACCAGTATTCATGACAGCAATAGCCCACGATTGGCGTGTTTTGTATTTTTTTAAGCAAGAGGGGAGGAATTTGGTTTCTCTGGGGATTTTTTTCTCCCCCTTCCTTTTGCCCCCTACCTTGGAATTTCTCCTTCTTGGAGGTTTGGCAAAAGACTGTATGACACTGGCATGACATTTCTGAACAGCGGCGTTGGGGATGGGTTTGTTTTGCATCGTCGGCGTCCCGGCGGGCTCGGCATATTCGCGATGAAGACCAAAAAAGACGAACAAGGCAACCATGTGGTACTCTTGTTCGAGGGCCTTGGCGCGATTGTCCACGGTTCCATCATTATCTGATTTCCACAACCTTGTTGCGGCAACTTTTTACTTTTTTTTTTCTTTCTAATATACCCATTTTTTATTTTTTGAGAGGCATGAAAATTGACGTCCTTGCGGGCGACATTACGCGTCAGGTTTTGGTACATGAATATTTGGGGCGAGAGTCAGAACTCTTCTCTTTGGGGGGGGGGGGCTTTTTTTTAGATATTCCAGCCCACAGTCGAGGCTTATGATGTTCTGTCTATCAATACGTATATTATACAAATACTCTTACAAGCGCCTCCCTCGTGTTCGTCTCCAGCCATTAGTCTCCCAGTCGCTCTTGCTTCCTCGCCTCCTTGTGTGCCTTCTTGGCCTGGTGCAAGCTCAGCGCCGGGTGCGCCAGCGCCAGGTCGTGGGCGCGAATGTCGGCCTCGCCCAGCTCGTCCAGCACGTACCTGCCGAGCTTGCCGTCGCGCCACTGCGACAGCACCCTCGCCGCGGCCTCGTGCCAGTTGGGCGCGCCGCCGGCCTTGAGCTTGCCGTCGCGCCGGGCCACGGCCGTCAGGAACTCGTTGACGTCGTTTGTCGGCTCGCAGTAGCGCCGGTACAGCTGGGGGTCCCACCGGTTCATGCGGAACAGCAGGTAGTCGGCGAGCAGCTCGTCGGGCACGAGGCCCTTCTTGACGCCGTGCGCCAGGGCGACCTTGACCATGGCCTCGCCGTCCTCGACGTAGGGCTGGAAGATGCCCGGCGTGTCGAGCACCAGGACGCCGCCCGCGACGCCGCCCCTGTCCTCGGCTTCGACGACGCGCACGGCCGGCCCCACCCGACGACGCGCACGGCCGTCCCGACCCTGCGCGTCACGCCGGCCTGGTCGCCTGTCCTGGCGGCCTTTGCCTTCTTCCCCGGTGTGCCGGCCTTCCGGAGCGCGTTGAGCAGCGTGCTCTTGCCGACGTTGGGCATGCCCACGACCAGGGCGCGCAGTCCCGTCAGCGAGTCTTGGGCCTCGGCTGTGCGCTTGAGCCGTCTCAGTAGCGCGTCTGTGGTGGCGGGCTTGGTCTTGTCCCAGAAGACTACCTTGTCGCCGTGCAGCCGTCTCAGCGTGTTGCGCGCGCCGGGCGTGTCGGTGCCCAGGTCGCACTTGGTGTACACGAGAAGGCGGTCCCGGCCGGCGATGGTGCGCTCCAGCGTCGGGTTGTGCGTGGAGAGGGGTAGTCGGAAGTCACGGCATTCAAGGACGAGGGATATGCTCGAGAGGAGCGTCTTGATCTTGTTTGCGCCGGCGTGGTGGTGGCCCAGGAAGTAGGTCTTTGGGACCGAGGACGGGATGCTGAACGTGTCGCGGGGCACGAAGCGCGCCATTGTGAAAGATGTCACCTCCTGCGGGGGTTGGTGCACATTTTTCTGTTGGAGTGGCACGCAGTTGGTGGGATGTGCTAGGTATATGGTGTTTTGAATAAACCGGCGTCACGGCGTCATGAGAGCTTGATGTTAAATTGATTGATGTTGACTGGTGTTTTGGCCATCGACTCTCAACTTTGTGACAGGGGTCCTTGCGCCACGAATTGAGGTTGCACGTGTAGATAAGATAAGAGGTTCAAACGGCCGCTGACGTCATCTCTTGCGTGCGCCTTGGGACTCTAGGTCGACGCCATCCAGTAACCACGGCCGATTGGGCCACGAGGTTTTTGCAACAGTCTTGGCTTTTCACGTTCCGAGGGCATCGTTTCTACAAAGTCGAAACCCGACCTGAATAGTCGATGCTTGGCCATGCTTGGCTTTAGCATATGCAGTTATGCCCGGACCGATGACATGGGGCCTTCCAGCCCTCATAGTCTTGGATGGAAGGCATAGAAAGCTCGTTACATGCCCAGTTCGACCATGGACAGGATGAAGCATACGTTTAACCTTCTAAGCCCAGATTTTTCCCACTCATGTCTGCGACAGACGCAAGGTATTTCGGCCCAGGCGGCAAGCTTAGACCCTTCCGCCTCCTTAGGCAGGATGTCACCAACCTGTGCCAACGATACGCATCAGACTGGACGGTATTCAACCAGCAAATCATTGCCAGCGCAGTGTACATCTTCTTCACTAACATCCTCCCGGGAATCACATTCGCAAGCGACTTGTACGTGCTCACGGGTCAATCATGGGGCACTATCGAGGTGGTGTTTAGCACCGGCCTAGTAGGAGTTATATTCGCCTTGTCAGTTCAACATCCCTCACCCACTCACTCACTCGCCGTCACGAAATAACGAGACATCTTACACCTTCTTCCTCCAGTTTCTCCGCGCAGCCTCTGACCATCCTCGGTGTGACGGGCCCCTTTTCGGTGCTCGCAGAAAACGTCTACACATTGTGCTCAAACAGCTTCCATGTCAGTTTACAGACCATATACATAGATATACATGTTTCTCCCACCAACGACTCGCTAAACTGTCGCAAGGTCGACTTCCTCCCCGTAATGGCATGGTCCCTCATCCACGCGGGCTGGATGCTCTTCGCGCTCGCCATCTTCAACGCGCACGACTGGACAATGCAATACGTGACACACTTCAGCGCCGACATCTTCTCCCTCCTCAACAGCGTCATCTACTTCCACAAAGCGGCCATGGCCCTGAAGCGCACGCACGGCGCCGCATCTCTCGCCGCATTCCTATATGCCGTCATCGGCGCCGCAGGAACCTGCCTCGTCGCCGTGCTGCTGTCGACCGCAAACTCGTGGAGCCTGTTCCACAAGTACGTCAGGATCGGGCTCGCTGAATACGCGGCCGCCATCTCAATTGTTTTGTGGATCGGGATTCCACACATCGGCGAGCTGGCCCATCTGGACCACGAGCGTCTCCCGGTCCAGACCTCTTTTCGGCCGTCGAGCCCCCAGCGGGCCGCATTCTTCGTGGAGTTTTGGAAACTGCCCGTGGAATGGGTGTTCCTGTCAGCCATTCCCGGCGCCATCATAACAGTGCTCTTCTACTTTGACCACGAGATCAGCAGCATAATATGCACCGTCGAGAGGTACGGCGTGCGCAAGCCGGGCGGCTACGCGTGGGACATTGTCCTGCTTGGGCTCACGACTGTTCTCTGCGGTGTTCTGGGCATCCCGCCCGCAAACGGGCTGTTGCCGCAGGCCCCATTACACACGGAATCGTTGTTACACTACCTCGATGAAGGGTCAGCTGAGGAACACGCCGGTGGGACATGTGCCGAGGTTGTGCGACCGGTGGCGAGGACGCATGAGCAACGGTACTCACATCTTATCCAGGCCGCCGCCATTCTGGTGTTTGTCTCGCCTCCGCTCCAGGGACTGTTGGGTTTAACGCAGACTTCTGTGCTGGCAGGGCTTTTCATGTTTATGGGCTACCAGTCGCTCGCCGTGAATCCCATCCTCGACAGAATCTTCCAACTACTCACTCCCAAATCCGAACTGCCGAGTTTACCAGACGGCGTGACTTGGTCGGGGATCCACAGCTTCACCGGTACACAGCTTATCTTGACTGGCATCGTATTCGGCGTAACGCTCACTGTGGCCGCGCCTGCATTCCCCCTGGTAATCATTGCCCTGGTACCACTGCGATTGACGTTGATGAAGCGCGCTTGGTCGGCAGAGACATTGAGGTTCGTCGACGGCTGGGCATGTCGACCGGGAAGACCAGAAGATGAGTCGGATGCAGGGCAGGTAATCGTGGCCGAGGACGAGGGGAAAGGTCGAGACTCTTTTATGAGATCTGACAATGTACATGTCTAAAATGCAATACAACGCAATATTACTGGTAAAAAGAAAATAACAACCAGGTGATCCGATTTTTTCAGCTGGCATATCTTGTGCCTATTCCAAACTTGTCGTGGCCCCAATTAAAAAGAGCTCATCGCACTTATATCCCTGAGGCGTCATCCGAACGTAACACACTGATAAGAAACACGGGCTCGCCAGGTAATTTTTCGTACGTGCTCAACCCCATTTTCCCTTCTCTGTTCTCCCATTTTGTTGTAGCACGCTTGATCCGGAGGAGAAGAAACAAGAGCACCATCCAAAGGAATCCGTCCCATTTTGAGTTAACATGACCATGGAATTAACTGGCAAAAGCGCCATTGTTACCGGTGGCGGTTCAGGTATGTAAAAGAGCCGCATGTCAAATAACCAAACCCAGAGGGCCGCATCTTGACAAGACCCAACAACAGGCATATGCCTGTGCTTTGTGAAACTCCTCCTCAGCAAGGGCTGTTCTGTTGTCATTGCCGACATCAGCCTCCGCCCCGAAGCTACACAGCTTCTCGAGGAGTACCGCCAAGACGACCCCCGCGCAGTCGACGGCCCAAGGCCGTTTGTCTCGTTTCACAAAACAGACGTTACATCCTGGCCACAGCTCAGCCTGTTGTGGGAGACGGCCGTCAAAACCCACGGCAAGGTGGACATTGTAGTACCCGGCGCGGGCATCTTCGAGCCAGCGTGGAGCAGTTTCTGGAACACCCCCAAGACCGACACCAATCCTGATACGCAGTCGCGAGACGCCGGCGATGCAGAGCCAGGTCACTACGCCGTCATTGACTTGAATCTCACCGCGCCACTGCGACTGAGCCAGATGGCCATTGGGCACTGGACCACGAATCGGCAGAAAGGCTGCTTGGTGCTTGTGGGAAGCATTGCGGGTTATTTAGACACGCCGATTCGGCCGTTGTACCACACGACGAAACATGGCATCCACGGGTTTGTGTCGTGCATGGCCCCCCTTCGCGACGCGCTGGGGATTCGGGTGAGCGCTGTAGCTCCCGGTCCGGTCAAGGTATGTTGGCTGCCGATATATCCTCCTGTTCGTCATCACGACTTACCGCTGACTGGTTTGGCTGTAGACTTCGATATGGGATCAGGGATTCACCATGTCAAAAGACATGAGCGACAACATGGCTTGGATCGATTTGCAGGACGTCGCCCAGGCCATGTATCAGTTGGTAGTGGATGAGAAGATGGGCGACGGAACGATATTGGAAGTCCTCGCTTCGGGTACCCGAATTCTACCCAGGTTTGCTGGTGCTTCTGAAGAGCTAATTAACTCGACCGTGGGCGGATATCTGAAGGCCGAGGAAACATTCCTGGCTGACTTGAAGGCGAACGGCCTGCGAGTCTAACTTTGCTCTGTTAAGCTGCAGTCTCGTTAGCTTTTGTATCTTTGGCAACTTAACAACACAGGCTCTGCGACTAGTTTTCGTTATTTGGTTGGGTGGCAAAGTCGCAAATTTGAGAATTAGTGTATATTTCGCTGACAAAATATCGAGCTCTGAACGGATTCTGTCTGTAGTAAAGCGTAAATGGCCTTGGAAATGGCAGAGTTCTTGCTCGTTTAGAATCACATTTTCAATACGCTAGGCTCCAAGATCTGAGAGCTCGTCCACTGCCACTCCCTTCAGCTAGCATTCCAAATTGTTCATTCTTCCTGACAAAATATACACGCAAATAAAACAGTGAGGTTTCTTGTGCCCAGCCACTGCGTCCCAGAACTTTTTTTTGGATTTCCCTCTCGCTTCTTCTAGCCCATGCAAATAAGGACCAAAACGGCATCATGGCCAATGCGGCGCCTAGGTAAAATCGACGAAATAATGGGGAAACGAAAGTCGAACAAATGATGTAAAGAAAGAATTCGCAAGTCGCATAACCGGTCAGATGAAGATGCTCTCGAAAGAGCTGGGTATCTAGATCAACCACCTTGAAAGGTCTTCTCCCAAACCTTCTCTACTCCTGTGTCTGTATACCACTCCCCTTCGTTTTTCCCCCGTCGTTGCTGTGTATTCTCCCGACTCTGACAGGCTCTGGTGGGATCTCGATGAAATAAGATATAGAACAATAAAATACTAGGAAATGCTTTGGTTCAAAAGATTGGTCGGTAAGTCGCCTCGGATGCGTCGTCGCTCGTCCAGTTGTATGGGTTATGTGAAAGGCGTTGTTCCCGATGTGTTGAGTTGAGGGATGGGGACACTGCTAAGGTGGGTTTCGTGTATAAAAAGCGTTGATTGTGCGAGTACGGCACCACGGTCAATAGAATTCTCGTCACTTGATGTTTTTAAAGAGGTCATTCCCCAGGCTTCCTTCATCTTTTTCGAGGTCCTTAAGCTCCGGGATCATCGGTGGGGGAGGCCCGGTTGGTTTTCGAGGTGAAGGGACATCATCAAACAAGATGCTTGATCGCTTGGATTCGCCGCTTTTGAAGAGGCCAAACCAGCTACTCCGCCTCGATTTTCGTCCGCCCATGACGCTGCTGCCGCCGCGGCTAGGAGGTCTGCTACCGGCGGCCAGGCTACCATTGTCCATCGAAGCCGCATTGCCCTCTACAAAACTAGTGTTCAGCATATTCCTACTAAGTAGTTTGCGGAGGCTGCCCTGTCTAGCAGAGCCAGCGGGGCTCAGGGGCGCCTCATCCGCGGGTCGTTTGGTTCCGGCAATATTACCATTGTTTGGTGGTGTAGACTTGTCGGTCTCATGCCCACTGACCACGGCGGAGTCGGTCTTCTTTGTCGGAGGAGGTGTCTGGGGCGGCGTGGGCACCTTGGGCGAATCTGGAGGAGGGGGGATATTGGTGCCGTCGGTGATGCTCCCGAAGTTCAAGTCGAGCGCGGGAAGCTCAAACCGAGGCTTGGCCGAGCCATTGACGCGAGCAGGCATGACGACAGAATTCTGAGGGAGGCCGAGAATGTCGAGAATGTCGAGAGGTGAGCCAACAGGAGATCCTGACCTCGGGAAGGCGTCGTGACTGGCAGCAGTCACAGACAGCTTGACGGGCAAAAAACGTCGTGATCAATGGCAGCTTATCGCGATAGGCCGGGACCAGTGAGTGGTGAACAAGATGACGGAGTAGAGCTTCAGTCTGTTCTCGTATCAAGACAGGCGAGACCAGGCCAGTGGGAAAGGAGAGCAAATGCCTGGCAACTAGGTAGTTGCTCCGTACGCTGCACTCTGCACTACTCCGTATACGCGTTGATGACCGGGGTAGGTGGGAAAACTGGAGCTCTCGTGGCTTGGGAGAGCCAGGGTCGGATGAATTGGGTAGCGTTGGAGCTCAATTGTGCATAGTACTCCGTTTAGGAGGAGGAGGCCGGGGTCGAAAGAAGAAACGAGGTCGAGCGAGCCCTCGGACAGAATTCAGGGAGAATCATTCAGCGTGCGAGATTGGCACCAAGAGATGATGGCGGATGGACGGCGGGAAAAGGAGGGCAGGGTTGGCCAAGTTGGCAGGCAGGATTCCAGGGCGAGGAGAGGGATGTAGTACGAGGAGGATCTGAATCTGCACGCAGACCAGGGACGCGGCAGCAAGAAGAAGAGACCTGCAGGTTGCTCAAATGCTCAAATACCTTTGATGTTTCGCTTTATCAGCGAGATGTTGCTGAAAATGGAACATGGGTGGTTGGCCATGGTTACGGCTTGGGACAGATGGCAGGGATGAGGGGACAGGAACGTCGAGGTTGACTCGAGGCTGGCGGTTCTGTTCTGGTGGTGGAAGTGCTGGTGGCTGTTGGCGCAGCACACAGTGCACAGAAGCCTGGAAACGACTTAGCGCCCCCAGAGAGCACCACATGCAGACATGGACCGTTGAACCTCGATGTTGGGCGCCCTGATGATCCTTGACTGACCGACTGAGCTGTGGCCTGGCTGGCCGACTGAGTCGCGAGCCCTCACTAGACACGGATACTACCAGATCAATTGGTTCAGAAGACACCGGGGGTCCGTGGCGGCCGGGCTTTGGAATCACTGTGCCATGCTGTGCACCCATCGAGAACACTTTGGAAGGGTGCATCGTGACATAGACGGTTGGTACGTGCAGGCATGCAGACAGACTTGAATGTTGCCGAACCGCGGGCACTCGAGCCCTTAGAACGTATAACCAGATTGTTGACGGAGACTTGGGCAGTGGCCTGTTTGCCAACGGTCAAATCGCATTCTTGACCGCCCAGTGCGCTGCCGAGCATTCAATGTTCAGTTGGCCCAGGTGCCACGATGTGCCCCCGTCCGTCCGGTCTCGTCCCGTCCAAGGCCAGCTACTTTAGTAACTTGCCGTCGTTGTCAACTTGGGTGACGGCACGACCCGCAGTCGGCAGCATGACGCCTCGGAAGGGGTCGACGGTTCAAACGTCAACTGGTCTGGTTCGCAGGAATCGTTGGAAACGGCCTAGACTGCTGGCACTATTGGCGGACTGATGGGGCTGATGGGACGGGTCTGGTGGAATCATGGCACTACGGAGTAATTGATCCATTCAGAATCAATGGATGGGGCCCGCCGATGGACTGAAGTCTGACATCAACTTGACCTTTCACAAATGGCTGCAAAGCACCAGACGGAGTGGAAATGAGCGTGCGCGACACCGGCAAGGGGACAAACCGGGAAAACAGCCAACCCAGCAATGTCAGCAAGTGACCCAAGTGAGCACGCAACACGGAAAACTTGGTCATAAAAGCAAGTCCAACGACTATCATCAGGCCATGACCAAGGCCCGAGTAACCTTTCGGCCTGTCTAGTGCGCTAGGACCCCTCGACTACTTGAGGATTCACGTGCGCATGTGCATTGGCACAATGTCTTTGGGCAATATTCTTCTTTTAAAAAAAAATCTTTTTGCATTTCTGCCTTTTGGTAAGTTAGCGATTTGCCGGACCAGCCAGCGGTCTCCAGCGGTCCGGTGGAACTTTCGACACGGCAACCCCGTCCATTGACAAAGGCATGAATTATGCCTCTACTTCGCCACGTCTTCCTGAAGCGCTTGACTCGGGAGCCAGATCAGCTAGCTAGCACGCACAGGTCGCAGTCCGGGCCGGGTTGCGAGGACATACACAATGTTGTACAACATACATACTATTCATGTTAGGTATTGACGCTTCCACGCCGGAAGTTTTACCAACCATATTCGTATTCTTGGCGTGGAGCAATGTACTTAATTGGGACGCGGAATACTACGTCCTATTACGGCACCTGGGAGTACTGGTAGTCTGAGCAAAGTGCTGTTGACACCACTGTACTACTACAACAGCAGCCTAGTGCATACTTGGCAAGGGCCAAATATATCCTGCCACAGCCTGTGCTAGATATCCAATGCGGAGTTTACTTCCAGCCCCTCGTCGCGCTCCGCCAGCTTCACCTTCATCTTCGAGCAACCTGTCATTGTCAATCACACTCCTAATGGCCACATTCCACCCGTAGCACCAGCAAATGCCGAAAGCCAGCACGAGTTACAAAAGGTTCACCACGAGCCCCCCGAGATTGGGTTTTCACACGACGCCATCAACGCACAATGCAAGGATGACTTGCCGTGTGTGAGCTTCCACCCTCTCGCTTTACAAGATGGATTAGGAATGACCCCAGCGTGTGACGCATCGATCATCACCCTTACTGCCTCTTAAGTAACATGTAGTCTGTATTCAACCATTTCACTACCCATCTCCTGTGAAAGGCAAAAAGTATTTAAACCGGCTGGGTATCTAGCAATTGCACTCTATACAAAAATATACTATAGTACACTGGTGTAAACTTGTTGGTAGACGGATATTTTCTACTACTAAATGCAGGCGCCTGGAAAAGTGTATCCAGCTAAGGCGAATCCAAGTACGCATCGTGAGTGAATATCACAGATGGGAAGTAGCAGTAATGTCCCCTGGCTACCTAGTATTCTGCTTTCCTGTCATTTTAGCATTTCGCGTAGAATATTCTGCGCCAAAGAATACACCTAGATATCTTCCTTTCCCACCTCCATGATGCCGAGCAGTACCTCATGTGGGTCCCGCCACTGCCGAAAATAGCTCCATCACCCAAACGTCATTGACGGTTTTCATCCGAGGACGGACCGAAAGCTTCACAATCCCTCACCACAACCTCCATCGCCCTTGGCAGAGTCCCAACGGCAGCAATTGCACACGTCGACAATGGCAAGTCGCCAGTGTCTGCAATCACCCTCACTGGTGTCCAAGCTTTCGCGACCAACATCAAGCCTCCAGGCCACCCACTTGACTCGACTGCCTCGAACAGCTCTTCGGCGCAAGTCAGGCCCGTACGGCTACACACAATCCAAAGCTCTCGTGTACTCCAAACACGGCGAGCCCTCAGACGTCCTAAAGTAAAACCCAGGCTCACCCGACACCAAAACGCCGGCCATGACACGGGCTAACGTGGCTCTCGCAGGCTTCACACGCACTCCATCTCCCCCTCCCTCCCGAGCTCGTCCGTCCTCGTTCGAACCCTCGCCGCGTCAATCAACCCCGCCGATATCAACACCATCCAAGGGACATATGGCTCCAAGCAGCCCATGACATCGCTCATCGGCACCGCCGAGCCGTCCGCCGTCCCCGGCAACGAGGGCGTTTTCGAAGTCGTCTCCGTCGGCGATTCGTCGTCGCCCCTGAAAAGGGGGGACTGGGTCATCCCCGCCGCCCAGCAGATCGGCACGTGGAGGACGCACGCGGTTTTCGAGGCCGGGGATCTTCTCAAAGTCGACAGGGAGAACTTGACACCCACGCAGGTCGCGACTGTGAGCATCAACCCGTGCACGGCGTACCGCATTTTGCGAGACTACGGCCCCAGCGCCGGGTTGAAGTCTGGCCTGCCGATGAGACCGCTCCAGCTCGGCAGCGGCGAGTGGTTCATCCAGAACGGGGCCAACTCGGGGGTGGGACGGGCAGCGATCCAGTTTGGAAAGCTCTGGGGTCTGCGGAGCATCAACGTCATCCGCGATAGGGACTCTGTCGAGGAGACTGAGGCTTTGAGGCAGGAGCTCATTAGCCTAGGGGCAGATGTTGTGGTGCCGGAGTCGCAATTCCTGTCTAGGGAATGGAAGCACCAGCTTGCGGATATTACTCGGGGCGGCCGCGAGGAAATCGGGCTCGCGTTGAATTGCGTCGGCGGCAAATCTGCCACCTCGCTGGCACGATCCCTGGGCGAGGGGGCTACGTTGGTGTCGTATGGAGGAATGTCCAAGCAGCCTGTTGCCTTGCCGCTTGGGTTGCTCATCTTCAAGGACATTCGATTTGTTGGGTTCTGGTTGTCAAAGTGGAACAAGAAGGATGCCACCGGCCGAAAGCATATGGTGAATGATATTCTGAACTTGATTCGCCTGGGCCATTTCAAGGACGTGCCTGTGGATGAAGTCAAGTGGGACTGGGAGACTGAGGAGGCGCCGCTGAGGGACGCAGTACAGGAGGGTTTAAAGGGGTTTAGGAAAGGAAAAGGGGTGTTTGTGTTTGGTGACACCTGAGGGTTGTTCCGCATGTAGTTGTCAAGGTCATGTATAGTATTTGAATGATGGGTGAAAGTTTGAAGCCACGCCCGCTTGTGACGTGCCGTGGTCTACTTCTTTGCCTGGACGGTTTGCTTAAACTCTTGTTTCACGGAAAGCAATGAGATGGGCAGGTCCTGGTATGCAATACAGCATCCAACTATACATATATACAACACTAAATATCAACCAAAGAGCCGTCATATAGCCTCGCCATGCCGGCATATAATGGACCGTGGTTGAGCGCACTAGCGATCTCGATATATCTCGTCCCTTCGGCAGTTGTTGACAATCCAGGGATGCTGCTGTACTTGTTCGAGGGTCAATCTCTTTTCTGGGTCAACAACAAGCAACTTTGGCCAATGTCAGCATTTCCATACGCCATGTTCAGAGGGCCAAAAGATTCACACTGACTCCCTTAATAAGGCTCGTGGCCTCGGCGCTAACAAACGACGGGACTTTCATTTCCGCCCTAGCGATCCTCCTACATGTCATGGCGGGTGTGTCCTCAAAGGGGGCCTCACCCACGAGAAATTCGTAGGCCAACACGCCTAGGGCCCATAGGTCGACCTTCTCATCGTATGAGTTCTCTGGGTTATTCGGTATAACCATCTCAGGAGGCAGGTAGTCCAATGTTCCGCAGTACGTTTTTCGGCGACTACGGGGCGAGTGTACACTCCAGCCAAAATCCGAGATCTTCACCTCGCCATATATGCCCACCAGGATATTCTCCGGTTTAATATCGCGATGGATTATATGCTTACGGTGCAAGTAGCGTAGGGCACTTGCCATCTGCGCAATATAGCGTGCAGCTTTCGGCTCCGGGAATCTATCTGCCTTGCGGAGGTGTTTATATAACTCGCCACGGCCAGCGAACTCGAGGACAAGAAAGACACGCTTACTGTCGTGGAAGTGGCTATATAGCTTTAGGATGTTAGGGTGCCGCAGATTGCTCTGGATCTCAATCTCACGCCGGACCTGTCTCTCAACACGACCTTCGTGTAGCTCGCTCTTATGTAGGACTTTTAACGCACAGATGAAGCCGTGATCTCGCTCGCGTGCGAGGTATACGCGGCCAAACTTGCCCTTGCCTAGTGGCTTGCCGATCTCGAACATGCCCAAGTGGAATGTCTTGGCCACGGGCTGCTGAACCAAGCGCACGGTCTTGTTCTCTGATTGACTTTCTTGTTGAAATGGTTCTATGCGAGGGCTTTTGTGGCTTAGCGAAGTTTGGAGGGCGGCTTCCCGCGGGGGAGCTGGTGTCTTTGGCTTCTGTTTGGGCAGAAGGGCTTTGACGAGGTATGGTCGAGCTGTATGGCATGGGGGCATTGCTAGGTTTGACTTCACCTGTTCAGAGGATTAGTTCTGCTAGGGCTGATTTGACCATTGGTTTGGATTACCTTTGCCTTTTGCTCCCTTCCGTCGCCGTCGTCGAGACCCAGCCGCTGCAAGCGAGCCTCGAGGCCATGAGCTGCCATCGTTTTAGGTGTTCTTTAGGGAGAGAAAGGAAAGAGAATAGAAGGATAGAAATATATTACT